CATCGTAATTTCCTATTAAACATTTTCTTTATTTGAAGACGTGAACGGTCGAATATCGGCAGAAGAAGCACACAGATTAGTTAGAATATTTTGGATTGATAAATTGATAATTCACTGTCAATACTTCTATGTCAGCTTTCACTTATAATAGATTATCTCTAGATTGATTTTCTAGTCGAATAAGTCTTGTGGTCTACTAAAGCTTCTTGTCCGCAATTCAAGACGAGCGACGAATTGTCGTACTCACTCTTTCTGCTAAATTGATATGGTGAGTAGGAGAAAAAGAGAGAAAGAGAGAGAGAGAGAGAGAGGAAGAAAATCAACCTATGACTAATAATTTCTTAAAAGATGAGTGTTCAACAGTCGTCATTTACTAAAGTAATATATAAGGCATGGATGACATGTTACATATTATAATGTTCCACAAGCAAATACTTACTATTCGAAAAGATAACCATCGAGTGATGTCATATCTTGGTAATGTTTCAGAGCTATTCTCATATATGCGCAGATTTGCGAATAAAATAAAATAAAAATCAATGAAAAAATGTTATATGTCTCAATAGTAAGCTCGGACACTCGCTATCTTTAAAGTTAAATTGTTGTGAAGCATTGTAAAAAGTCGTGTATAACACATTCTTCAACACCATAAGCGGCACTCATCATCGTGTCGTTTCACACGGACAAGTTTTCTGCCATCAAACTACACTTAGAAAGATGGGATTAATGGATATTTTCGTAATTGAACTATATAAGTAAATTTGGGACGTCGAGCTGAGATTTGATAGCAATACTGTTCGTATTTAGTTAAATCAGCGCCGTATTCGTGGCAAGAGTTTCGATTATGTAAATATGTGCTTTACTATTGGATATCTGTGCCGTTTTTCACTGCCCACGGTCGTCATTTGTGTCGCACTGATCTAGTCACAAGTTAGAATTCGCTTATAAATTATTATCGTATTTTAGTCAAGTTGAAAAATTTGCGAACTTTTGGGCGAGACAAGGTGTGGACATGAGATGTGATGAGAAAAATCAAGCGTTGTATGACGAAATAAAAGAAGCATAGAAAGACGAGATAGTAAAAGCGTAGAAGCGAAGCATAAGAAGAAAAAATAAAATCAAAATGAAAAACAAAGGCTCAAACTCATGAGAGTACAAAGTACAACCAAGGAGTCAACTTGAGATAGTACTTGGCCCAGCTACATAACCATCATTTCAATAAGTTTAGAGAGTTGGCCACACGTACTAGAAGAGAATTTGTTGCAAGTGGCAACAGGGTGTGTTACCTGGAGCCCGCTTTAAGGTTGCGATCGTTTCAGGGACGGGATTTCGCTGAATACTCTGGGCCGCTTGAAGTAGAAATGCTTGCTTTTATCTTTCTTTATCTTCATTATTCGAGATAAGAAGCGTAACTTTGAGATCGATTTGCGCGGCCACAATATTTATGAAATTTATATAGCACTTGACGTGAATACCGCCTGGGAGTTTTATAGAAATGGCCGTTAAACGAAGCATTTTTCTCAGCGATTTTCATTATGAAAGCTTTGCATAGTCTTGGTAGTTGTCCTAATAATATCATCTAAAGTGTGGGAACGAGCAGCCCAGCCTTTGCTTCTATCAAGAAGAACAAACAGCCTCTGCAATCACACTAATACGCTACGAACGAACGAAACTCTACATGCTGGGCAGCAATGAATAAAAACAGACGCCGGAACAAAGAGCAGAAATTAAAATCTATATTTGAAATCAATTTACTCAGCGATATCCGTTAAACGCTGCACTTAAGTGCACAAAAAGCAAAAAACGTTACTTAATTCAAGCTATATGTAGACTGGAAAGTTTGATATAAATCAGATTGATTCGCATATTAATGAATTTTGCAAAATTTGCTTAGTAGGATAAGGGAAAAGAAAAAGTGATTCGTATACGTTTCGACCTGGTTTAACCGGTTATTGTAGAGTTGCATTATCACATTAATTCCCGACAAAAAATCCGGACTAACTCCCTTCTAATTAGGGTGCGGTAATTGTGTGCGGTTGTATTTGCTTCAATATTCTTTACATAAAACTTATACAAATAATAAAACAACATTTAAAAGAAACAAAAAGAAACTTTAGTCAAGATATTGAAATGTGTGTCTGTGTGCAGGCACATGTGCAGTACAATAACCGCAGTCAAGAGAAGGGGTTTTTTTCGAAAAGTTTTTTTTGTATAAAATAATAAAAAAGCAAAACTGAAATTAAGCTAAAAATAATGGTTAAGAAGGTGGGCGTACACATAACGAAACTTAAACGTATAATTTCTGTTTACACTTCTATTGCAAAAACAAAAAACATAGTGAACTTTACATGAACAAGAGAAAATAAGAAATACATATAAGTTTGTTAAATTAATTGTTAAAATTTAATAAAGAAAAAAAAAAAACGAGTTTGGTTTTCGTGAGTCAGTAGAAAAAAGGTGAAAACTGTCTTACAAAGAAATTCATTTTCTTTTAATCTGTGAAATGTTTTTTTTTTTTTTTTTTTAATCTGAGTTGAGAGTTAATCATGGTATAAAGAACGCCTGAAATTGTTGTAACATTTTTTTCTTTGGCTTTTGCCGGTGTTGTTGTACACGCTATACGCATTTACTTGAAAATATTCCAATTGGATTTAATAGAGTTATTACATCAGGCCGGTCGCTGCGTTCAAATAAAATAATTTTTAGGTTAAAACGAACCAAGATTTTTTTCTTTTGGTTTGTTGCTCAAGTCTCTTTTTTTTTGCATGCAATCGAATGCTAAGCAAATTGTTTTGGTTTTCGTTTTGTGTAAATTTTTATTTTATTTTTTTGTTTTTCAATATTAATATTAAAATGCGAGATATTAACGTAATGCGTATATCTAAATAAGTAGAATGAAATAAAAAACAAATTCGAAAAATATGAAAAGGAAAAAATTTAAGGTTGAAAATGAAAGTTGCTCTTGCTGGTAATGGGTTTTGTTATAATAAATAAAGAATTTCAATTTAATTATAAAGGCTAAGGTTAGGCACTTCAAGAATGCATTACATATCTGTGACTGTTAATCTGGAAAAAAAATTTTGAAAATAAAAAAAATTATTCTTGAACTACAAGATTGCTTTTATATGTTTAAATAAAAATAAAAAAAATCTTTTAATATTTCTTTTAGAATCTGTCTTAGTCAGCAACCCAAACTGGCAGCTTAGACTTTCACAAAAGTTCGTTTCTTAAGTCTTTTGTTTACGTAAAGGAATCGGTCTTTTTACACCGGTTTTTAAATTTATCAAATTAATAATAATTGCTATTTTTATCATATAAAATAATTCTTACACCATCCGCTTGGCCGTTGAGAGCGTAATCAATTTTTCACATCATTTGTAACAATAAGATAAGCGGATAAGGGAGCACATAAATCAGGTACACGGAAATCATCCAAAGAGTTTGAGTCAATTACATGATGTTCCTCTCTGTCTTTGTATCTCTGTACAATCAGCGTTTCGCTTAAGTCATTCAAGTACTTCGTCTGATCTCTGACATATATTTTTCTCCCTAGTCACTTGCAAAGGAAGAGAAGAAAAGTAGGTGAAGGTGTCCCTTATTGATACAATTGTTTGGTTAGTCGTAGAACTATCTACATATTGCACAACACCTAAGAATCCATCCAATCCTTATGTAAAAGAAAGTACCTATCATGTTAGGATAATTATATCTTCTCTTGAAAACAACGATATCCAATGATATCTCCGAGCAAGATAACCAATCCATCGATTTATTTTGTTCAATAAAGACAACATCCAATCCCTTTCTTCACTCAGAACTCACAAAACATTAAGTTCACTCCTTTAAATCTAATTCTTCAGCTTGTAGTCACCCTTAGATCCAAGGATAAGGAGGTAGTGCTTGTTAATATAAATTGCGTTTTTAGTTTCTTGCTGTGATCCTAGCTAATTAGAACGAATTCGCTTGCGTTACTTAAGGTGCTAGGACTACTTCCATTACTCATTCACCACTCGATAAATAGTCCGTTGTGGTGATACAATTCTGTCTACAATTTTAGATCATTTTTGTAGGCGAACTGAGAAGATCTTCCAGCGCACTGAGTTCATCGACACAATTTTGTTTAAGTAAAAAAATAATAATACTTATTTTCATATACTTGCCTTCGTCTCCGGATTCGTTCCAATCCAAATATCCCCTTCCCTTCCCCACTATTTCACACGTAAATATCTAAACCTAAGTAAAAGATAAGATCAGTTTATTGTTTCACACACAGACAGATATAAGAAATCTGAAATTTATCAGAAATATTAAAAATAAGTACTTAGAGCAACAATACCTGACTGGCTGACTGCATTATTGTATGTATGTAAAAATAAGTATTTTTTGTATTTAAAATTAAAAAAAAAAAAAATTAAAAGAAAACCGAACACGCTTACGGAGATAAATACAAAATAAAATAAAATGAAAAAAAAAAGCTGATAAAAAGCTCAATTCATAAACAACACCTTTCCATATACTGCTCCACCAGCAGTCAAAACCTCTTTAGAAAATAAGAAACCAACACCACCAACACTGTAAGCGAGTAAGGCAATACTGTTCAGGTCACGTGAATGTGTTGGTGTTGCACTCGCTTTACTTTTGCGAAATGCTTAGCATAGAGATTCGTTTCTTTTGTTTATTTCTACTTCGATTTGTTGTGGTTATAGTCATGGCTTAGCTTTTTTTTTTCTTTTTCTTGTTTATATTATTATTATTTATTTACATTTTTACATTACTCTCAAATTGTTCCACATATACCAACATGCATTATGTATGTATTTATATGTTCAGCTGGTTCTACCATTCTGTTGCTACGATTCGCTACATACAAGCTCACTAACTGACTGACTTGTTAGCAACAAAAATTACCAACACTAGATTAAAAATCTTATTGAGCGTTAGATTATTGACTACTACCGTCTTGACCAAGGTTTAGTTGTACGTACGTCAGCTATAAAAGTGTAAGCTGTGTCACTGCGGAAGGCAGTTTATTCAAATAGTCTGTTGCTGTCGGTCTCGATCTCGTATCATATTATATCCGTCAGCTTTACAAATCACGGACACAAACAAAACGTAAAGGCTTTCCGGATTAAGCAGTTTACCTATATTTGCGTTACGTCTAAAGGATTAATAAAAATTCAAACAAAGCAAAAATATAAATTACAATAACAAAATGTTCCAATTTGTGAGTGAATTTTTTTTTATAAAGAGAACTGCTAAACATCTATTAATAAGTTTTAAAAACTTTTGAAGAAGATAAGATGAAGAAAATAATTCAAATAAAATTTAAAAATATTTTTGAAAAGATTTATATACTAACATATGAATTCAAATAAATTCAACTTATCGTCACCATATTTTGCACTAATCATCAATGAACACAGAACTCTTATATCCTTTTCTTTACCTAACCGAAACAAGGTGTAACCTAATCACAAAATCTATACAATCTGTTTGTATTGAAAGCGAGATAACTTCATTACGAAAAAAAAAAAAAATCGTTATTAATATTTGCATACGTGGATCAAATTTCGCTTTAATCAGGATCATTATGAGAAGAGAGTAACGGATTTAATTGCACACGTAAAGGGAAAAAATGCGGATATCTGATTGTGAAGACTTTTGTGACAAGCACTTTTAGGCATTTAAGAGAAAAGCGCGTTATATGATCAAGAAAGTATAACTAAATGCGATTTTAAATGAATGGACTGGGGGACTGTAACCAAAAAATATATGAATCGCACGTTAATATGGTTCATTCGTGCATTTATCGTTAAAACAAATTTGACGATTGAATATCAGGCTACCACTCTCTGCATACGTAGTTTGAATTCCTTGCATTTACAGCTTCAAAAAGCGTTTACAAATAAGGTCCTTGGAGTGTGGATTGTTCTTTTAAAAGCAAATTACTAATGAAAACACTTTCAGTATCTTAACAAGTCTGAAGGAGTTTATTCTATTCAACTAAGATCATAAGAAGAAACTAAAATTACGATTTTTAATAATAAGAAAAAAAAACACTGTCTGCTTATCCTTATAAGAGGAAGAACTGGCTTTAAAGAAGTGAATTGAACAAACTGCCATTTATTCCTTTAGCTTCACATGTGACAACTGCAAAAAGGATGAATATCTTTAATTGAGATCTAAGCAGATTTAGACACACTCATATCTCTATTCCTTCGTCTCCCTCTCACTTCGCACATTCACACGACTATTACTGCCTTGATTGCAAAGCTATGATCAGTTTTGAATTTTTTTTTTTTAAATTCTATGCAAATTTTGCAAAGATCCAAAAAAAAACTGTTCGATGTTATTATGCCTTACTCAGCCTTATTTCTTACAGATCATTTTAGCCACATTCCTAGCGCTAGCTGCAGGTCAAAATTATCATCGCGATCCCAAAACAGCAGCCATTATCAGCGAGCAACGTTACTTATCCGGTGATGGTAAATTTGGTGCTGCTTATACACAGGAAGACGGTATCAATTTCAAAGAAGAAACTGATGCTGATGGCACACGTCATGGTAGCTACAGTTATGTAGATCCGACCGGTCAAAGAAGAACTATATCGTATACCGCCGGGAAACATGGGTAAGAGAACCTACAAAAAAATCGATTATAATTGACATTGCGCAGGAGGAAGAGAATTCATTCAATTCGTTCATTCACTAACTTTAAAAGTACGGTTTCTTTGTTATGAGGCTCAATATTTTTTGGGCTATTAACCAAAGTTTAAACAAAAAACAAATAATTAACAAGTCGATCAACTCTCAAGGCCTTAAAAACAATCACTTGACAATTTTAGTATAGTTTCTAATACTTTTGTGGCTTTATCATGTGCTACATTTTTCCAAACGTGGTGGTGTGGTTACAATGAAAGCGCACCAAGCAGCCAAGACATTTTAGTTACATTACTGTAGCTTTAAAACAAACTAGTTTAAAGTACCCGTTTACTTTTGCTTTGATACAAGCTTGACCAACATGAGATAAAATAAGCATTACCTCAACATTCATTCAATTTCCTTCTTTTTTTTTTGTTTTTGCTTTTCGTCAATTTCAGTTTCCAACCTCAGGGAGATCACTTGCCAGTGCCTCCGCCTGCACCACCACAACCAATCCCCACTCCGGGATATGCCCCACAACCACAATATCAACCTCAGTACCAACAACAACCGGCTGGACCTGCTTTCCGCAGCAATGATTATGATGACGGGTCATACGATCAGCGTTACAACGATCCCGGTTTTGGTCAAGGGCAATCATATAGTCAACCTCAATATCGTCCACAACCTGCACCGCAGCCAGCCTATAATCCAGCCCCTGCCTACAATCCTCCAGCTCCTGCCTATAATCCTCCAGCACCCGCCTACAACCCACCCGCACCCCAATATCAACAACAACCCCAATACTATCCCACAACAACACCAAATCCCCATCGTTTCTCACCACCCGGTAAACTCTCCCTAAATCGCACACCAGACGGTTTCACCTACAGTTTTAACAAAGCTTAAGGGATGACCAAAGCATAAGAAATAGTAGAGACATTGATTTCTTTTCGATCCAGAGAGTGATAGATTGAGTTTTTTTATATTTAATGATATTTGTGAGAAAAAAAGAATATACAACTAAAGCTGACTTTTGCTCTCTCCTTCTCTCCTTCTCTCTCTCTCTCTCTCTCTTTCTCTCTTCTTCCCTCTTTTAAGATTCTTTCATAACATTCTCCATTTTGCTCTTTCATTCGTAATCTTATCCAGCCAACAACACTGCCTCTCTCACCCACAGAACCTATTTTCACATATTAGCTAAGGGATCGCGATCTATTCTACTATTTTCCGCTCCTCGCTCTCTTTCTTTCTCACTTTCTCTCTGTAATTCTCACATATTTTGCCTTCTTTTCTTCTTCTATTACTTAACGAAATGTTGTCTAGTATCATTTTTATTCTCTTCAATACGCATTCTTGTGATATCAAAAAAAATTGTTGCAACAGTTTTAATTTTTTGTCATTAAAAAATATTTTATAATTTTGTGTTAATAATATTTAATATATAGAAAAGAAGATTCCTAAAAAAAAAAAAAATAATTATCTAAAAAAAGTGGACTTTTCGTATTACTCAGATAAGAACGTAAGTGTGTGCTTTATAAGAAAATAAGTAATAAACGTTGCGAATATCTGATAATGAAAGGAATAGAGAGACGTGTTTTTTATTGAAGAAGTTTTTCAAGAAGACTTTCAAAATGCGTTCAATGCATTCCCCTTTAAAAATACTTGAAGTTTGCGATGGCGCGCATCCACATCGATTGGTATTAAAGAGTATTGAAGTGATAAGAACTTGTGCACATTTTCCCTGGCGGGCAAGGATCATTTACTACTAACCTCAAAAATCGTCAGAGCAAACAGAAGACGAGCTTGCGTTAATAAATAATATTACTATCCATAGGTGGTTGTCTGTGAGCTTTGGACGATAGCACACAATTGATCAATTGATAATCAAAAACTGATCAATTGTTTCTCCAAGTTTTTGTAGACTTGAGGATCAATTTAATTGACCTTTTATAAATAACTAATTCATTTGTAGAACACAGACTGTGAGTCAAAGATCCACTAAAGTATGCAGTCTTGAGAGAATGAGTCAATTCAATCACGTCCATCGGTCTATTTTTATGAAAATCGGAGGTACATATCCACTACAGCAGAAAGCTAAGACTTAACACATTCTCCCAGATCAGATAAAAAATGCTCTTACCGTCACTCAAACATAAACATCAACTAACATAGAGAACGAAACGCACAAGTGCTTAAGTACGCCTTTTACAATGCGGCAAGCAACCCAACTAACGGCTCATAGGTGATATCTATACGGAATTTGGATAAACTCATTATTACGAGCGTCCAAAACTGCAAAGAAAAAATTAGCCTGATCCCTGTGATGGCTCAACCAGATCCAATCAATAGAAAATTGCCAGGCAAAACAGGCGACCAAAATCCACCCATAATTGAATATAATTTCGTTACTTACTTCTTGTAAATCTCTCTCGGCAAGAATTTGAAGTGTATCTTCATCTGAAAGGCCAGTAGGTATACGAAGGTCGGCTGAAAAGTTTTTAACCTAAAAAAGAGTTTCCATCCTTTCGCTTTTAGTTCATCTTGTTTCTTCTTTGTAGCCTTATTTCTTCTAGCTATCCAGCGTCCAAATAATACTCGGAAGCTTTCTCCGCAAAATAGTTATCAATGCTGACGTTCCGATTGGATGAAAATCTTTTTACTTCGAGTGCAACGTTTATCACGTAAAAGTAATTTTCCAGTCATATATGCTTTAGGTATGCTGTAGGTAGGAGGCATGGGTGTTTCCCACATGGGATGATACGAACGCTTTATCCGATATGCTGTCGCTGTCGCTCAAGTAGATAAGATCGATTATTCCTAAAAAGCACGACCAATTCCATTGAACACTGCCTTCCGAAATGTAAATAGTGAATATATCTACCCTATACACATACATACTGAATGTATATGAATATATATAGAGTAGAATTGATAGGCCTTTGAATGCCTATTACAAAAATATATTCATTCGCATCCAGTTAACAAATCAAATGTTATTACATCTATTTTTTATGCTCATGTTTATCGATCTACATATACTTACGTACGTAGATACGGACACGCTATAGAGTGTGATAGAGACGTAAATTGAAAAATGCAAAAACATGCATTCCATCAAAGTGGAAAGTTATCAAATCATGTATTGTGCCAATTAATGTATAAATAAAACAATGCACGCGCTAAGAAACTGAAGCAAGAAAAAATTATCGTAAAGTTGTAGAAACAAGTTTTCATAACGTGGATGTGTGAGCACATGTGCTTAGTTGCTTAGCATGCAAGTATATTGCAAATAGAATTTTTAAAGCTTTTAACGGAAATATTAACATATATAATATGCATGTAGATGCATTTCCATATATATGCATAGGCAAAAAAAAAAAGTATGATTGTATGCACTGGGAGTGTACGATTACGTTCTCTGTTTTTGCGACATACACACCCGCATATTGGCCGTATAAAAGTGTAAGCCCAATAAAACAAAAGGTGAGAACATTCTTCTGCGGTAGCTCTTATACAACAAAATTGAAACTTTTTTCATTAACTTATGTACACACTACAGACACATATATAAAACCATAGTAATTTTAATTGAAAGCAATGAATTAATTATTCAATTGTTTCAAATTTTACAGTTAGTGACTAGAGAGAAAATTATTAATATGTTAAAATTAATAAAATAGCGAAACTTAGCGCCCTCCTAGACACACTTCAAAGAGAGTGATTGCTCTAACATCTAACATCGTAGGCCGAAAAAATAAAACTCATACGCATTTTTGATCGATGTGGAGTCCTACATCAATTTATTAATGTCCGAATGCCCTTCAGCCTAACCCGACTTGTGCCCGTCGGTCTGTCCTTATAGTTGTCTATTTGACCCTCTGTCCACGATAGTACGATAGTACATACACGGATACGCCCTATGACAAGAAATCTCACCAGCACGCTCTCAATACCGAAAGCTAAAAGGACATCATTTACCATCCGCCAATCTCTCTGCTCAAACCATACCTCATAATAGAAATGCATCGTTCCTTCCTTATATCTATAAACTTATTCCGCTAAACCGTTTTCGTTACAGCATTAATAAAGAACGAAAATTATTAACTCATATATTTCACATTTTACGAGTTTTATCCGGACGACTAACTCGTTCGCATATTCTCACATTTATTATGACGACCGCTCATATGTGTTCGTATATTTAATGTCAAGCTTTCTATGATCAGTTCGAAGTAATGAAATTAACGTTTTTCAAGGTCATTTTTTTTTTTTTATAATTGAAGTTTATTAGCTTACGCTTGGAATGTTTTGTGTTACGACAAGTACCTTAGTTAGATTTAACCGGTAGGAAGAACAACGCCATTTCTACATCAAGTTATTTACGATTTTGTGATTTAATTATATGTTTACTTTCATGTCAAGACAATAAAAGTTGCAACAAAACCAAAACAGTCATAATCGTTCAACAGCCTATGGCGTGGGAACAGAACAAAGATTAAGGCCGCTGAGCACGCACGCTCTTGACTAAATGGAGCGTAAAATTTCTATTGTGGATGCTTTACAGTAAATAGGATCATCATTCTTTCATTGAAAAATGCTTGCAATTATTAAAGATGCAAGTTTCAGCTGACATAAATCACGTAACGCATAGAAGGATAAATCCAACTGTCTCTTAAACTTAGGCAACTGTTTCTAAACACTACTTTTTGTGTATTACACTGATAGGTTCAAGGTTATCCAAGCAAGTCTTCTTCCTCCATATGCCTTTTTTTCTAGGGATAGCTTAAGAATCTCCTCCAAAACAAGAAACCTCTTGCTCTTGGAAGCTAGAAATCTTCATGGACAAATTATGCAGGCGATAAGAATGTTATCTCCAATGAAAGTTTTAAAACTCTTAACGTGACTTCAATTGGCGCACAAACGTATATGATTGAATCATCACAATGAACTTTAAGTGTGGGTGTGTGAATAGTATTTTGCGTAATAGTCCCACACACATATATTAAAAAAGAATTGAAGAGAGAATGTCATAATGAAAAATTTTAAAATATGAATTCATAAAATTTACTCCAACTCCATTGCTATTCACTTTGTTCAAAAATATATGTGTTCATTACAACATTAATTAATGGTTTCGATTTTCTATAGATTTCTAACTATTGACTACTGCAGCCCTTTTTTTTATTATTATTATTGTTTTATTCAATTCTTCAGAATAATGAGGCATAACCAACATCAACTAATAATGGGAATTAGGCAATATGGTGATAATAAATATATATGTATGTTTGTTATGTGCCTGCGAGGGTCGAAAGATACAAAACTTCAATATGTAGGAGGAGGTTTTCTTACATAAAGTGACCAAACAATTTCTTTTTTAACTTATGTAGCTCGTTGTCCCCAAATGCACTTTCGAATCGCCCTATGTACGTTAAAGTCGAGAAAACGAGATAAGGGAACAAGTACTCGGTTTCTATTGCGCATCTTACTGCCCATGCAGCTTCTGGTGCTCACGTTGTAAATGAAGCGCGAATGTATCGCAGGACGGTTGCTGACGGTTCAAGTTGAAGCGGTTGTCGTTATATGCAAATTGTAGGGCATATTAGTAACACGTTAAGGAAATAAATAGCTTCGGAGCTCTTTAGTGTACTATACGTAGTAAATACATAGTAAATAAACCGAGCAAATCAGACTACATAAGCTATATATAGTGTTCATTATTTTCCATGGAAGCAGAAAACATTTTCTACTAACATTTGCAAAAAGTATGCGCAATGCTACGAAATAATGCAACAATGGCGTAAATTATTTCTATTAAATTTTAAATATATTCAAATTTTATGTAGCATAACTTGGGGGGTAAAGTATTACGTAGCAGTTTGAACCCAAAGATACTCTTCATACAGCGCTGTGCAAACTGTAATATTTCCACCAACGGCAAGAATAACTGTAGTTAAACATTTGTATTTAAACTGTAAAGATGCATATTTTTATCAGGACAATCTTTCAAGATGCAAATCACACATATTTCATATTTTATAGACATTATAGCAGCGCATTTTTCTATGATAGTTGCAATTCCCAGAAAAAAATTGTTGCCCAAAATTCAAACAAAACATAGGATTTTATATAAAAAACACATTTAATGTACATGTGGGCCATAATCTATTGAAAATACATCTGCAGTTGGAAATGCTTTTCTAAACTTTACAATTTTTGTAACAAAAAAAAACAAAAAAAAAAAAATTTGGTTTCAAGATTTTCACAACAGCAGCATAAGTATAAAAAAAACTCTTTTTCTCTCTCTCGCTTACAATAAATAATCTTAATAATTAATTTAGAAACTATATTAAATTGGAAGCAATGTTCTCAATTCTTATGTCTTATTCCTCTATAGTGCCCATAAGACAATTGAAAGTAAGATTTAATTGCTCCTTACCTAAGAGTTATAAAACCACTTTCAACAGTTTTTACAGTCAATGATTTTTTGATGACAGCGCCGAAACAAACATCCGACACGAAAAGTCAAAAGAACATTTAATGTTTGTACAAGTTAAGCCTTAAAAGAAGTTAAGCCTAAAAAGTTTTTGTCACGTCCCACGTGATGTAAGGTTCTCGTCTGGAATTAAATTAAAACATGTCCTTGCCGATATTTCCGCTTTGGCTTCGATAGCAGATTGCCCGCCGGCGGTTTTGGTGTATATTTAAATGCATCATTTTGCGGACGTCTACGACCGCGAGTCGTCGGCGGTAAATTCTTGGGATAATTGTCATGATAAGGTGGCGGAACATTCGGGAAATAGTCATCATTATAATGCGAGTCTCGTGCAAGCTGCTGTTGCTCCTTTTCAGCCAATTTTATCAGCTGCTTGAATTTCGGATTACTCAGTAATTGTAGTTTTAATGATTCGTCGAGAATTTTCTGTTGATCCTCTAGATATTTATCAATTTGTTTTTTAGAAGCTACCGCTTTGAGTTGCTCGCGTAAAGCTGTCTTCAAATGCTCGACATGAGGGTGAGTGTATAGGTTTTCTGGTTCGTAAACGTCGTAACCACCGGTTGGTATGGCAGTAATATGAGCTGGAACCGTAGATTTTGGCGGAGCAATAATATGTATGGCCTGCGGTTCATAGTATTTGCTATACTTTTGTTTTTTCGCCCCCGCTGATGGTTCAAATTCTCGTACCTCTTGTGAATAATCTTCGGCCAATGTGGAATATTTATTCGATTTCGTTTTCCCTTGCAATGGTAAAGTTTTCTTAGGTATTGTTATCGGATGTTGAACTCTAATGTGCGTGCCAATCGAATATTCACGACTGTCATTCTCCTTATAGGATCGATACGAGTCCGGAGAATTACCAGAATATTCTTCAGAAGACGAATAGTTTTCGCTTGAGGATTCCTCTTCCTGTAATCAGCAAAAATGACACACATTATACGAAACACGATGAGACGGATTGAGATACAATACAGAAGCTTACCGAGTCATATGGTTTATAGTTCTTTCTCTTTGTATATTTGGATTTAACACGACGCCGTTCACTTGGCTCTTGCACCAGATCGACATGATAAGAAGCTGGATGTCGTTGGCTAGAGATTTGCGTTCCCGACGGAACTATGCCGTTAGTGAAATATGAATACGACGATGATTGGGCACACGAGTCGGCTATATTTGCCAACAACATGGTGAGAAAAAACTTTTATAATAAAAAAAGAGAAATTTCAATGAAAATTGTAATTCCAGCAAAATCTCATGAAGGCGATGGCAATTGCAACGGAACGCAAACGTGTATGTCGGGACAATCTATCTTAATCGCATTTGAAAAGCAAATTGATCAGATAATCAAATGAAGCCTAAAGCAATTGTGTAAAAGACAAAGCATTTCATTCATTTCCTTGATGCAATAAATAAACAGGTTCCATTTTTATGGCCATCTTGCAGCAACTGTGCGATTAAAAATTATTGATAATACGTTGTAATGCCACACCTGCACGAAACGGAAGTCTTGATATGTGCTTTCATTTCCTAAACTTATTTAATGGAAAAATTCGCTAATAATAAATATGGTTTTCCTTAAACTTTCTTAGAATCCATGGCTTGTTTTCACGTCCAACAAGACAAGATTAAGATGATATAACCCTGGCAGTTTATATCATCGTGTCCCTAACTAAAGTGAACACGATCGTCTTTCCATGAACCCATCCGCGTTATGGTGGATTTTTGAATACCGTTGAAAAGGATCCTTGAGTGTAACAAAATCGAATTTCAAATCAAAAATTGCCTTGAATATCCTTCGTCGAAATGCTCCGTAAGAAATAAAGGATGTTTCCTCATCCTTACTTCAAGGAGAGAGAAGCATTAATCAATCTATCATTCCTATCCGTGGCACGAACGAACAAATAGTTAATCGTATACAAGTTTTATGCAAATTTCTTATGAAAAATAATCCTCACAAACCACATTAACACCTATTAACAGAACCACAATTGACCAAGAGAAAGGATTTGTAGGCAGCTGCCTTAGGCGATGAGCGAGCAGAACTCGCATTTTCCTCACTCCTCAAATATTCATATAATCAATATGTAAGAAACAAGTAAAAGAATTTTAGTGAGGCAGGGTCCTCCTGGTCACCTCACAGTTATCCATACATCGAGTATTCAAAATAATCAAAATAATTATTCACTTCTTTGTGGTTTATTAGCCATTAGGCAAGCAAGACAGAACGTTTAAGACATGTTTGTACTTTCGTCAAATGAAGGCGTGTTACCTGCCTAAAATTGCGTTCATTCTAAAATAAATATGGTGGACAACGTGATCTGGACGACTGATTTTTTCTTAAGAATACCATCGATATGGATATCAAGTGAAAGGACTTGTAGGAGTATAGAATGCGATAAGCTGAGCAAGCTATTTCTACATTAATTAAGGTGGACACCAGGTGGACACCAGGACGCAGTGGCTGACTTTTTTCTTCACAATATCTTCGATATGGGCATCAAATAAAAGGAATTGGAGAATAAAATACGGCAAACTAGGTAAGTCAATTCCACATTAGTTAAGATGGACACCAGGACGCAGTGGCTAAGCTTTTTCTTCACAATGTCTTCGATATGGGTATCAAATAAAAAGACTTGGAGAGTGGAAGGCGACCAGCTAAGCATGTTAATTCCAAACTATACACCACAGACGTAATGACGTAGTAGGCGAAAATTTCCATGTCGTCGATATGGTTATCAAGCAAAAGGATTCGAGGAATAGAATGCGACAGGCCAAGTAGTAATTCTAAATTAATTATATTGGACGCCCGCCAAGTAACTTTCTTACATTTTTTTCATATAATTTTGTCTAATGTTAGCCTCAGCTTTTGGAAAACCTTACAAGCAATATATTCGTATTTAACTAATAAAGATATAAAATAAATGAGTAAAACATGCATTTGAAAGCGCATCTCATGACGAAATGATGCTGTTTTATCTAATTAACATTTTCGTAAACAAATGTTTTTCCTAATAAACAAATTATTTCACAAACAAGTAGAGGTACGCAAGCATACAATGCTTACAAATTTTTAAAGCAAATCTCAATATATTTTCATTACTTATCAATGCGAAATAAGCTTTCAATCCTTGCGACGACTATTTAAAGTGTGAATTGGAAAGGTTTGACAGATGGAAACCCATCAAGCTTGTGTAAGCAAATACGGCGAACAGCTCTTGAACAAAACTGCTTATGCAAAATGATGCGTTAATGTGCAATAATTTACGTTATCGCAACATAAAAAAAAAAAGGAAAAGAAAAGCATTTTTTTTTTTTGGCATTTACTTACATTCACCAGAGTTTTCATTTTTGTTTCTTTTTCTTGTTACTTAAGTGTTTTCAGGCACTTTTCCACTTTCTTATTATCAAAAATTTTCGCATCGAAATTCACGCATAGATTGTTGTTGTTGTTGTTGTTGTTTAAGCAAACGTTTTTATTATTACAAAATATTAATTATTATTTAATAACTAACATCATCATTCGTTGCGGTTGTTGTTAATGTTGGTAATAAATTTATTTTTATTTTTATTTTTTTTTAATTTTTACGCTTCTTTGTTGGTTGTGCGGTACGTTGCTCAAATGAAACTGAAAGTTTTTCCACTGAGTGAAGTGGTTTTATGCCAACTTCCTCATGAGCCCAAAACTGTGTAAAAACCAATTCAACATAATTTTCTTACTATTTTTACGGGAGATTTGCTTTTCGTTTTTGCTTACAACAAACACACGCATACAAATCTCGTGTCTAAGGCTTTGTCTTTTTAAAGCAATTTCTCCTGCGCTTACTTACACTACTGATGACCAACTGCAGCGATTGAAAAAATGCTTCGTATAACTACCATTACTATATAAGTTTAAAAATAAATAAATAATAAAAATAAAAAAAAAAGTAAAAGCAATTAAATGTTTCTCTTTTTTTGCCCTTCTTCTTGTTTTTCTTCTTGTTATAGTGTTGTGTTTGTTTACATTGCACTATTACTTATGCAAATCAACTTATGATGTAAAATAAAGAGATATATGTGTGCAAATGTAACATTTCATATACGTGTAAATATGATTTATATTCAAATTACTTAATATGCATTTACACAAGGTCTGTGGTGCACGAAAAACAAAACGAAAAAAAAAAATATTTATTTATCCGGCATATTTTATTATCGCAAGCAATGAAGAAAGCAATGATTTAACGAAATTTCAATGTCTTTAGATTTTTTTTTTTTATGAGTTAAGGGAAAACTAACGCGAATCGTGAGATTTTTCATTTATTAATTGGAAAGTACACAATTCTTAGCAGTTCATGTCACTCTCTGAGTGAGTTATTATTAAATTAAACTCTTATGTCATTGCAGTGCCTCGTTAATATTGATCAATCAATATATAAGCGCTTATTAGCCGCAATGACTTGTGATCAGGTTAAAGCGACAATCACAAAGTATTTCTCAAGTCCGAAACTGTATTCAAAAGTTTCGAAAATAAATTGTTTTAAGCGTTTAAATAGGAGTTACATTTGTAGTTTGCTTCATATTCGTTAAAGTGCATTCAAGTGAATTTGCAAAAGTTAACGGTACGCGATACTATGCATCAAAGAAAATTTATGGGTGGAGCATCCTTCTCGTTGAAGGAACACATGATAGAATAATTTCCTAACAATTTCGAACTCTTGCTCAAGCGGGGAGTCGCAGGCAGTTGTAATGCCTTGTACCTCGTAACGTTACCTTACCGAATACTACTAACAGGCGCCACAAACAAACACGTTAGTACAATTCGCCTGAGAGGATCGTTGAAATTCTGCATAATATGGATCTGCCTTTAGCTACCAAAAAATCCTAAACATTTTATCCTAAAATTTTAGCGGCAAAATTGCAAAATCTTTAATTTTAAGCCTAAGCTCCCGTAAACAGTCCAAAAAAGATGACTAATCGTATAGCCGTGTTGGAGATGCTTGAATCTTTTGAAGCTAATTTGTTTAAATCCTCTTTTGTAAAATCTTTCTCGACTCGATTATCTTAAGAATTCAAGGTAAACTTTATTTTATGCCATAAAGCAACGAACACATGATCTGCAGTTGTACGATGAGTTAGGTAACCCAAAAAAATTCTTCTTTTCCATGATCTGTCAAACCGTCATTTAGAACAAGCCTCGTAAGCTTTGTGTTTAGTGAACGCAAGGAGATATTAGCCTAACACTCAACGAGCTTTGCCGTCATGTTAACTTGAATGCATGTTTATTGGTTAATGCAACACGTTTCCTTTCAATTATATTAAATATACTTCAAGAAGGTTTGAACTCTGACGAATTAAGGCACTGCTAACTTGATGTGGTCGCCATTCTGACAGAAATCTTGATAGCTTATATATGTAAAACAGCGATAAAAAGGCTTTTAGAAAAGTGATAATCAATTATTGTGAGGCGCAACATTTTTAGTGTGGCTCCTACGTATGTTTCCACAAGGAGGAGAAAGAAAGGAAGAAAGAGAGAGGGAGAGAGAGAGATTAACTACAAACAATACTTTGTTATTTGTGAACAAGTCCTCCGAACAGCATCCTAAAGACTGGACTTACGGTGACAGCATTTAGCCAGAGAAACAAATACTAAGACTAAAGTCTTAAAGCGCTAGCACTCAGCTATCTCAGACTATCGGCTTTATTGCAACCCTACCCTAGCACCCTACGAACCTCGAGTAGTTAGTTGAGACCCTTTGCCTGCTCGACCGCACGGCTTTTCAAAGTTCTAATGCTCACTAAACAACAAGGCTTAGCGCATGTTTAGCGAGTGTAAAATCCACTTGAAAACACATACACATATTTAACAAAAGTGTCTGAATATGTATATAAAACTCAAATGCAAGTAAACTTAAATTAATTTTAATTAAACGTAAAACATTTTTTAATTTTCCTGTTTTTTTTTTTTTTTTTGCTTTGGTTTTCCTTAACAATTTGATCGAATCATCGATTATTTTGTTATATGCGCAAGTGTCAACCGATGACAAATGCAACGATGCAACGATTCAACGATTCAACGATTCAACGCACACACATTGACAATATTATCAAAATAATGTTTAGCTCGTGAAACGTAAATTCTTTGAAATGTTACCAAATATTTGTTGTTGCTTGCAATAGCAATTATACTATGTGAAACCGGTTTATTACAAATACAGGCCAGCGGAAAAATCGCGTACGCCAAAAGTGTTTTTAAGTTTAAGCAATCAAATGCAGACAAACAGTAACAATGTGTACAAGCAACTATTTGTGAAGGCTTGTGAATGCTTGTTGTTGTATTGCGCATGCATTCAGTGCATGTGTGCTGCACAACTCTCTGCACTAATAAATACCTGAAGCCAAGATAAAAATAAATGAAGCTATCTTTTCGATTGCTTGCAATAGTTCATGACTGCATAATAGGCTGGAAAATCTTTGATTATTTCATTCGATTGAAAGTGAAGTTCAGGTTCAACATCAGGAAATGCAAACAAAACGTATAAAGCATGTTGGCTGCACCAGTTTTTTTTCTTCTTTTTCTTTTCTTTTCTTTTCTTTTCTCGCCGCTGCTCGTGTCTGCGGTTGCTTTAAATGAAAGGCTTATTAAATGTATGGTTAGTTGGTTAAGTGATTGAAGTCAATTATTGTTGTTATCCAAGTAAGCGAGAAAAATTTACATAAAAAAAAAAAACCGTTACGGTTACCCAAAGAAATGAAAACCGACCGAAACTGCCTCAAACATTTACTTGACTTGTTTTCTGTCTTCCTCTCCCTCTCGCTCTTTACACCGACTATACGAAATTAAATACGAAACATTAGAATACCGAAGGAGGAAAGGGACCGCAAATTAAAAATTTGTTATAGGTTTTTGTTTTTGGAAATTGCGTTTATCAATCGTGTGAGATAATCAATGCACTCCTCTTCTCGCAACGATATAAACTTTTTTAATTGGTATTGCATACGGTTTTCTTTAAAAGTCATTATCATAATTGTTTTCCACTTAAACCACAAACGAAATAAATAATAAAACGTAAAGTTCAAATATTTGAAAAATTTCAAATCTTTTCCATTGTAAGACGGTTAGCTTAGTTTGTCTGCGTTGTTAGTTGAACGGCATTCAGGTAAACGTAAATGGTATACTTTTTTCCTCAATGTCATTTCCTGACTTTTCCAATTTCATCATCATCATCATCATCATCATCATCATCATTATGATTATCATGGCGGGATGGATGTACACCAAATACGGAACACACTCAACGGAAAAGGAAAGAAAAACTGACATAACCGGCTCTAAAGTGAAATCAATTATTAAAGCAAAATAAAAAAAAATAAAAAAATAAAAAAAGAAAAGGAAAGAAAAAAAATATGAATTGCCCAACATAGATATTCTTATGTAATCTTTTCGCAAAACACTTTCAAATTTCAGATGTTTAAGAAACCCGTATAACAATTCATACATACATATACATATATATATATTCATAACTTGCTTCGGCTTAATTATTTCTTTCATTTTTATAAAATTATTGATTGATTTGGCTGGCATCTTACATTGTTAACGTAAAATGACTTTATTTGTGAAAAGTTTGATAATTGTTTTTACCTTAACTGCGGTTTTGAAAATATTTTCAGCTTTCACAAGGTCAAGCTCAAGTTCAAAATCTTTGTAAAGTTTTTTTATTCAAAAAAAAAAAAAAGAAACCCACTTGCACTTCATGTAAGCAGAGAGACATTTACGCCTCCTTTTTTTTTAATCCCACGTTAAATGATGACAACGGAATAAATTTAAATTTCACTAATTTAGGAAGTCAATGCCGGCATACGTAATAGAGTTAAGCAAAAAGCATCAAGTGAAGTTAATTATGCATTAAATCGCATCTCTACTGCATTTCATGGTACCGTTATCTGTAAAAAGGTACGCAAATTCACATTAATCATTAAAACTTATTGGAAAATTGCCCTTCCTCCTCCCTATGAATGCACTGAGCACATACGGCAGATTAAAAAATAAAACATAAAAAGATCAAAGGAAGCCGAAGGGAGGCCCTTGCAATCTCGCAAAAACAATAATCACAAATTGAAGGAATAACCCGTAGCTTAGAATTTTCTAAGCAAGTCTATGGTTACTCAAGTGGTTTTGGCGTCTTTTCAACCGCACCGTGATCATAGCAATTGAATCGACTCGGACTTTGACTTGGAAGAATTGCGAAATACAACGCCAAGGTTTAAAGTCGACTTGTCGGGTTGCGTGTGCAACCAAGTGCTAACAGTACATTTCAATTACACATGCTTCAGCATATCCCTCGAATAGCTGCTTAGAACTGTCTAGTCAGAGAACATGTCAAAAAAAGATTAACGCAAATTGTGGAGGAAGATTGCTACTACGTCCACGTCGCCACTATACTTGGATACTTTTCGTGCTACATTTGTCCTCAATCGGCGTGTACACATTAAGGTCTAGCAAGTAAGTGAAGATGAAGCGAAGCAGAAGCTAAATTCGAAAAGTTTATCAAATGTCTGCATTTTTTACTTCTTTAGTTAAGATGACCGATGACTTAGGGAGCGTCTCCTATACGTGCAACGCGGTGACCTTCAGAGAGAAATAAGAAGTCGCCGCGGTCTAGTGGCATAACAAACACTCAATTTACCGACTAAGAACTCACCATAGGTCGCACCAACTATCGCCCTAAGAGTTTAACTCACAATGGGATGTTAAGAATCTTGTACAGAAAAGAGACTAATGCTGACCTAAGGAGAAGAGCAGTGAAGGTGGTTTCAGAGTAAGAGGAAAAGAGAGATTCCCATCAGCTCCGTCACGGTGTGCACTGTATAAGTGCAAATATTGATTTTCCCCTTTCAAGAGAAGAATCCCTACTCACGCTACGAGGCCTTTACCTTCCGTAAATCGCCGTAAGGCTTTAGAAAAAGAATTAGAAAGTTCTTCATAAAGTTACGACATTCGGTTCGCCCTGGCTGCAACTATTGCAAGATCTCTACTACGCCAAGTCCATAGGACAAAAATAAATTGTGAGGTGAGGGTAACCGTTGTCTCTGAAGCCACTGTGTCTGAATAGACTTCCAAAGAAAGTAATAAAGGAACTATCAAAATTTGTTATTGTTTTTCAAAACTCGATAGGAGAGCCAAGATAAGATAAGAGATTTTTGGTGAAAACCTTCAGAACTCCATAGAAATTCAAGTATTTTGATAGTTCGTAGCGTTCTAATCTAGAGTTTACCGATTTTCCACCGAACTGTTGTAACATCATTTTTACTTTTACCCTTTAGTTAGCTTTATTGGGTGCGCTCAAATTAGTCTTAGCCATTTTTCTACTCCACTCGCTATCTATCGGACCGATCAGCCTGCAATTATTGCAAATGTTTGAAATTGTATGGAAAGACGTACAAATGTGATATCTTAACGCGTTTTGGATAATTTGAAAAAATGCTGTTTATCCTTCGGAAAAGCCTCGTTTTAGAAATGAATGCAAAAAGTAAACGTTTCGACTGTGTGCAGAAAATCATTGATATAAGAATTTTTTGTTTTTCTTCTTTTTTTGGTTGTGTTTAAGAAAGGTCAGCTGCCTTTTCTATAACTGATTTCGGAGCCAAAAAAAAATAAATGCCAAAAAAACAAGAATATATTCACATAATAAAATGACATACAACATATACGCACACACGTACAACTTGACTGAGAAGAAAAAGCGTTAAAAAAATCAAATTGAGAAACCTGCGCACACATAAGAGAATTGTAAGTTTAACAAATTTATATTTTCGGCTGGAGGCGTCGGTGAATCGACCAAAGCAGACAACAAAACAACATTTAAAAATAAATTATTCGCACACACACACACAAACACACACAACCGCATATAAGCAAAAATGTCCACATTACTGAACGACGACTAATTTAAAAAACAAATAGATGAATGGTTAAATGAATGAATGTGTATCTCTCTGTGTTTGTGTGTGTGTGTGTGTTTGTGTGTTTGTGTGATTTAAGCTATTCGTGGTTACATTAATTGTGAGTATCGTTAATGATATACAAAAATATTGGATATCAGATCGTGAGTGCATACAACGTTCATTGCACGGCGATGACAAACAAACTCATTGCTAGAGCTGCTCATGTTGATGCTGTGTGATTGGCATTTGAACACCTACGACTTTAGCACCATAACCAAGTTGCGCTTTGTTTTTCTTTTTCTCTTTCTCAGCCAAGTGAATTCTGAGTAAATTATTTTTCGCATTTAGTTGAGCTTATAACGTTGTACGAAACAGTTGACGGATCGCCTAGCAATCATATCGCGTGCAAATAAAAGCAAAAAAAAAAAAAATGATTAATGGAAAATTCTTTACGGGTCTGCCGCCCAGAATGATTGATCGCCATGGAACGCCAACGCAAAATCGTTTAGAATCTCATTTATATTGGCCCGACGATACGAAAGTTGATTCGGCCATCGAGAGTAAAGTGAAACGTAGAAATAGCGTTCTATCGGATCGAAGCGAAAGACCGCAATTAAAAAAACAAATATCAACAGATGATGATGAAGTCGATGTTAAGGAAAGATTTCAAAGAGAATTCACCAAATCGTCCATACAGTTCTACGATAATTTAAATGAAGACGTCAACACAAAGAATACAAGAAGGCTTGCGAGAAGCTCGAAATCAATGAGAAATGAAATCGCGGAAAAACCCACTGCCACCAAATTGGAGATGCCTGAAAGTGTAGTCGATGAGGCTTATACCGCTGCCAAAAAGCAACAAGCTTACACTTCGAAAATTCAATTCTACGATTATGTCAATGAACCGGAACCGCAAATGCAACGGAATAATATGAGAAAACCTAAAATGGATATGAATGATAAACGCGACGTGGAATTGAATACAAAAAACAGTCCGAAACTACAAGTCAAGCATAATGTTAGAACTTTTAGCGAAGAAAAGGAAAAAAGCCCTAAAGTGATTAACAATAATGAAAGTCAACAACATCAACTGAAGACATCTGAAAATATTGCGGAACAGAAAGAGGATAATTTAAGAAAGTCTTTCAACAATCGGCCAAGATACCGGGAAGATCGCTTGGAACACCACCATCAGCCTGCCAACATGCAATATTCCCCGGACAGACTCAACGAGAGACGTCATCCTTATCGGCGAGAACCGTTGTACGATCACGACTATCGACGTTTAGAAGACAATTTCCACGATTGTGAACAAATCGATCAAGCGTACCTAGATCATCGACGGGAAAAATTAAATTATCAAAGAGAGTTTTTAATTCCTGAACCGAGGAGAGTCTTAAGAAATCACTTTTATCCATATGATTATGAAGATATCGAAGAACGGATGAATAATATGCATTTAAGAGGTGCTGTGCGTCCGAGAAGAGTTACAAGTTATCAACCAGAATGGGACGATAGAAGCTATGGTAATGATTATATATTGATGTTGTTGCAACCTAAATATATTAAAACAACACCCACTTTCAGACCCAGCCAACTAAATATGATTTATGGATATTTACCAACTTGCCACCAGTCACTAATACTACCAGTTCGCGGTAATTATTACAATAACAACAACAATTACGGAATTATATCAACAACATTACCATATAGAGCTAAAGCAGTAAAAGGTAGCTTTAAACCAAGCGATACAGATTACAATAATTACAATAACAACGATATCATCAATACATTGAATAGTTCACATACACAAAACGCAATTACCATAAATAAAACAAGCCGCAACAATAACAAACAAGATGATGTTAAGCAAACGCCACGAGAAGCACCAGCAAGCACAGCAATTAATATGAAATCGTCACAATCTTCTGAAAGACGGCAATCGCGACAAACAACATCGACAAAAAATTTAAAACATTTACGCAGTAGTTTATGTTTTCATGACGGCGAAATAATTGCGGATAATGATGTAAAAGAATAGTTTACAGCCCGACAAACGGCGGCACGTGGAGGTGCTAAACTGCGGTAAGCTTACCTCACTGATGATGATGATGATGATGATGATCGTTATGTAGCAATCTTGCGGACTTGTTCAGTATTTCTCCTCTCGATTACCATAATAGAATCAATCAAATGTCTACGTCATCAATATTTACAAGTTCTTTAGTCGCAATGGAGACACATTTCGCAAAGTTGTTCGCCTATTAACATTGAAAGCAAATGCAATGTTTTTGATCTTTGAGAAGCAAGCAAGTGTTAAACAATTCCGCTGTCCGTATTAGCGAGACATTTACTTAACTTAGTTTTTACTCTTTTTCTTTCTGATTTTTTGCTTTCATACGAAATATTAATTGAATTTGCATGTTAGGTGAACAAAGCAGAATAACACCTACTTGCAGTAAAATGAAAACAAAATGAAAAATTGCAATATTTCTTATTAGCTTAGTTTGTCTACAGAAATTAAAACATTTTATGTATTATAAGAGTTTTTAAATCTGGAAATATGTAAATCTACTTATATGTATATATCGATGTTTGTTTATGTAGTGTTTGTATTTTTCGAATCAAGTTTTTTTTTTTTTTTTTTGTTATTTTAAATAAAGAAAAAAAATTTCATAAACGTAATAAAAATAATCATTTCGGATTGTCTTGTTAATCATGTTTAAAAGTATCGCATAATTTGAATAATAACTAACTTCCGCTAGATTTGATTTGTTTGCCCTATCAGCTGAGAAAGTAATATTAATTAATCCAATCTGCAAGCTAAAGTCGACCTATCGTTACTGCGATAATTACGGATGCGCCCTAACCAAATTGAAAGCGACGCCCATGCGGGTAAGCTTTTTAAAAGCAAGGAAACCTTGAAAAGCGGTGCAAGCACCAGAAATTTTGTGGAAATAAAGAAGGAGAACGCAAAGTAAGGAACAAGGCGGGACGAAGTTTGGAAGAATTTTCAACTCGAACTTCCTCATGTTTATTGTAACAAAATTACATTCGCTTATGGCCGAATCCTTCATACCCATCACCGACTAAAAGAAAGGCAATATATAAATTTATATGCTTCTGTTTGAATAATAAATCGCATAGATTCTCTATATTTGAGGAAAAACCATATGTAAAAACTAAGTTAAACCGTATAAACAATTTTATGAATCTCCAAGCAAGTAGAGACGCAGAGACCAACGATTTATAAAATATGACCGTATGTTAAAGATTTATAAAAATTCTAAACCGGCTCTTCATTATACGCTTATGCGGAAATATGCGTGGTTATGGTAGATGGTATAAGCAAAAGACGGTTTAGAACATTCGTGAATCTCTGACGAACGGCTTTGCATTAGGAAGATCACTTTAAAACTTTCATCAACCTCTAAAGTGTCTTCGCGAATGCTATGACCTCCTTCAGGCAAATGCTTTATCTCTTTAATATAAAATATATAAAAACAAGATCAGGGACAATGAAAAATTTTAAGACTTCACTTACCTCTAGTGACAAACATTTTCTTTGCTTCAGGTTGAAAATTGATACGACGAATCTGCGCTTAATGACAACACACTTAATTTAATCCTTCATTATATAGTGCTTAACTGTTCCTTTTATGCCCTACATTCGTCTTAATTGAAAATATTTACATCACTTCGCGGAAGAAATGTAACAAAGAACGACCACGAATGTCATTGGCAGGTGCAGCCAATCAATGCAAACATAAGAAACAAATTATTGATAACCGTGTAAAGCCGCGACTTGGAAGCAATTGCTTGTAAAGCAGAGGGAGCCCTTCCAATATAATGCAATTTAAAAAAGCGATTCTTAATATACGAAAATTGCTTAACACTTCCTATTGGCATTCCTTGCATACAATTTTCACAATTTTCATTAAAAAACACTTTATTGTTGCCTAAAACTCGGGATATATTTTCACGAACAGGAGCAAAAAGCCTGGTTTTAATAAGAACACATTGCCACTTATTGTCTTATTAATATTGTATGCTTATGTCTTCGATGTGTTAATTAATCCGAAATCACTTTATGCTTTCTCCGCTGACTACTTGTATTACTTTTTCGATTCTTTCTTTATTCTATATTACTTCAAACTCAAAAAATAAACACAAAGGCCCACAAAGCGACGACTCCGACAAGTTTAAAAAATTTTACGAAAAACACGTTAATCAACGCGACTTGGGAAATGCGCCTTGTCCCACACGGCGACGAGCTTTTACCCGTAATATAAAATGAATTTTCTTAATATCGGACATATTATTGAAATTTGCACAACATTTGCACAACAATGGCACACAAGAAACGCGAAGTATGAGAATTTTTTTGGCACTCACTACAAAACCCTTTACTCTTGCATAAAACTCAATAAATATTTTCGCGAGCAAGAGCAAAGAATCCGCGTTTAATAAAAACAAAATTTGCCATTAATTTTTTATTATTCAATGCTTAAGCCTCCAAGGTCTTGAGTATTTTACTTTTGTTGCTTTGCTGATTGTTTCTTTATCCTATCAACACAAACGCCCACAAAAAAAGTCTTGGCCACGAAATTCACTACCGGCGGGAAAAAAAACTTATGAGAAACATGTGTTAATCACCGCGACTTGAAAATGAATAATTTTACCGCAAAGACAAGCATTTCAGCATAATACAAAATGGCGGACAATTTTTGGACTTTTCAAGAAAAAAAAAAACATGTAAGCGTTCAAGAAACGCAATTTAATTGGGAATTTTATTATATATTGGCCTGCCGGGCAATTTTCGCATTTTTCGCAACTTTTCACTGGAAAAGTGTTCTAGTTTCCTACAATATTTTTTTCCGACTTAAAATTCAACAAATTTTCTCGCGGACTGACGCGAACGCGATTAAGCAAGAATTAAAAACAGTGTTGTTTGCTATCAAAACCACTCAATCAAATTAGCGATCTATCCTTTTAGAGTTGATTCAATGGTTCATTGATTAATTAATGAGTTTTTTTTTTTTTCTCAAGTTTGAGTGCACAGTTGCATAATCGCGATTAGCTTAGCTAGTGAAATGGATTTAAACATATCTAGGTATTTATGCGTCCGAACGAGGTTATGTTGGTTTTCAGAAATTAAGGCCAAAAATATTGAAAAAAAACAACAAATGCAACAAGTATACAATTGTCACGGATGCCAAGTGTGCCAAGTTCCAGCCTTTGTTTTTTTCTTTATGAACTAGCAAACGAACTACTAGGAGTATATTTAACTCGTCCAGCCTTTTGTTACATTTACAAATAAATAATTATTTCCTTTATGACAATATTTTTATTTCAATTATTTTCATATTTCGCTTTTTATTAACAATGTTATTGTTGTTATATTTTCTTCTTGCGTTTTTTTTTTATTTTTTCTTTATATATATATTTCACACATTCACACCATAATTTTTTTAAAAAAACTATCTTGTAGACTTAGAAAGCATACATGGCTGCATGAATACATACATATATATATACATATATATATATATATATATATATATATTATGGAATTTGTCATACACACACACATAAAATTCATTAATATAATAAATATTGAATTTAAAAACCTTAAAATACTTACGCCTTCTAAACGATATTTAATTATGTTGCTTATTCTTAATACACAAACACGTATACACCATACATATGCAAATGTACATCGTCGTATATAACTAAAAAAATGTTTATCTGTTTGACAGAATAACTGGATTGCAAGTGGGAGTGTGAGAGAAGATATTATAACAGAAAAAATTGCACATATTTTAATTATTGATAGAAAAGAAAAACAAACAAAAAAAAATTAAAAAATATTTAAATTTTTTTTTTTTTTTTTTTTTTTTTTTTTTTTTTTTTGCTTTTTCACTTATCTTAGATATGTTGATTTGTAAATGTGTGTAAATTTCTCTTATTCTCGTTTTCATATATTTTTTTTTTTACTTTTGTTTTTAACTTAAAATTATCGTAATTTAAAGTCTGTTCTTGTCGTTAAGCTGCGTTCAGTTTCGTTAATAAATAAAAAAGCATTTAATGCAACCACAAAAATTAACATATATACTTTCTCTCATTAGCAAATAATACTTAAACTATAAACTTCATTATTAGTTATGATCTCGATATTTACCTTAACTACGGCATAACATGTATACAATGGATTGCATTTATATCAAATATTAAATGGATTTTTATTTACATTAAAACTCTTTCTTAATCAATCAAATTTTCAAATAATAATTAAAACAAGACAAGCGAAGGCCTGAAAAATTTTCACAAATTAATTTCACAATTGAATCGTAGCAAAAATGGAAGAAGGAATTCTTAAAAACAAAGAGATGTAAATTTCCTTTGACATTTCAATTTATCCAAGTTCGACCTAATTAACATAATCTTGACATTGAGAACTCGGACTGTAAGAGTAGACTGAAGCAAATTTACGCTCATTATAACTGACACAGGGACGAATTGGTAAAAACATACATCAAATTGAGTCCCAAATGCGAAAAGTAAAAACGATATTGCGTTGTGGACATTCGATAAGTATCTCACGTCAACAAGAACTGTATGTATGTCCATGTACAAATTCGATCTTTAAAAATCTTACAAATCTGGCAATCATGCGGTTTTTCATCTGGTCCATCATCTATCACTAGTGTTATAAGTAATTTTGAAATATATCTAAAGATTTTTGCAGAGAGCTTCGCTCAAAGCCATGAAGCATGAAAGTACTTAACTCTTTACGAAAGCTATGCTGAAATTTACTTTTATCCCTTTCCTGTGGAGTCTAATTTAAGAATCTCTAAATGAGATCGAATCTCTTCTTGAGTTCATATCAAAATTTGATTAAAAAAAAAAAAATCGTAAGAAATTCTAAAAACAACATAAATTTATAAAAGATTTTCAGACATATCATACATAATAAATAATATAGCAGGTTTTTATATAGAAAACACTACATAGTTGTGATATTTATTATCATGGTAGATGTCGAGACGTTTGCCATTGGATTGACACAAAACTTTGTTGCTTGTTGCATAGGCAATAACTGTAAATATGGGGAAACTTACAATTAGAAGCCTGTGTAACTTCGTCATCTGGAGTAGAAAGTAGGCTAAGTCGGCAGTTAAGCACTTCATACATAGGAAGTGCTAGAGTGGTATTCCGTTCAATGCTTGCCTTTTTAGATACAGAAATCATTAAGTAGTTGGCGAGCTCATCATAAACGCCCGAAGTTGTATTGAAATCAAAATCGGTTGTATCGGTCGCACGCTTAGGTCACTTAGTGGCTTATAACTCGACATTTTTGGCTTTCCGGATTCCGAGGAGGAGAGAAACAAACCTAAAATCTCAGCTATATTCCATATAAAATCCGAGATTGAAATTAATCTTCATTCAAAGCCACAGTGATCATGAGTGAATTGCTTAGAGAGAGGTAATGAGGTTTCGTATCTATTGTGATAAGATATGCAAACCTTTTTTGTATTGAACTTCCTTTGTGAAGGAAAAATGGATGCCTTTTTTAGACACAATTTTCTGAACATTTTCATCAATACTTCAATTTTTTTTTGCCAAACAATCTTTCATCGTAACAAGAATGGAAGGCACCTTAAGTCTTGCGATTATTTTCTTTATCTATCGTCTTAGGTTAGATTATTTTAGCATCGAAAAGGTAGCAAGATCTTAAGGTTTTCTCCCCCAACGTGATCTCTCCGTACGCTGAAAAGCCAAGAGGAAAAGCTTTAAAGTACTTAAAGTTGTTATAATCGGACTCTAGTTCGCAGTCCAACTAGGTTTTCTTTTGACCCCAGTGATCAACCTATAAAATTAATAGGTGTTAAAGCCTAAGGGCGAACGAATCTCCCGTTAGAATATCCAATAGCCCTATAGTCCTCGGAAATGATCAATTGTTGGACATTTCTCAACAACAGCATAAAAATTAATTACATGCGGTGCGGTTAGCAGGTGGGGTAATCGTCAGAATCGTGCAAACAAAACCGAACATCTGAATATCGCAAGTTTTCTATTTTAAAAACCTGTTATATTACAACTTTTACTTGATGCGCATTTCTGCGTTTAAATTTCACTTCCCTTTCCTCCGCGCCTTCTCCTCATTTCTTCCTCTCCATCCTTCTTGAATCCTTTCAATGATTTACTGTTCCGTTAGGATTTTGCATTTGCATCGGTGGCGACATCAATACGAAATTGGTTTTGCCTTCTTTATCGGTGGTGACTTGAAGTAGTTCAGGCTTATCCATGGCTGCCGCTACATCACCCGTATGAGTGATTACACAATATTGATTGCCATTATAGGTGACTATTGGTAAACCACTAACCGTAGCTGTCGCTACAGACGCTACTGCCGCTACTGTACCCGACGAAAGCTGTTGATCCGTTGCTGTCATACTCAGGCTGTTGATGTTGTTCAGCTGAGCCTGTACATAAGTAGCTGCGGTCGGTGAGTTAGCAATAAAGTTGGCAATCTATGCATAAAAAATAAAACGAAAAAAAAAAATAATTTTTTTTAAAGATGATTACCTCTATATGTACAAACATCGTATTAGTGAATAAACTATGAAGTTAATGACCTGTTATTTATGTATGTATGTATAGGCCTATAGTGTAATATTTTTCTGTTTGGAATATTTTTCTTTTCAATTAGACTCTTTATGTTTTAAATTCTTATATCATTTTATCAATGTTGCTGTCAATGCTGCTGTCCTTGGTCTTGCAATAAATCGTTTCTCATTAGTATTTGTAAAACTAGTTGGTTTTTTTTTGTCTTCTTCTTCTTGCTATATCAGTTCTTATTGCCTTTACAATTGACGATATTATTCTGTTTATTTCATGAGACGTTTTCTGCATTGAGTTTTTATCGAATTAATTCAATCAATAGCTTGGAAATGGCCTGAAAATGTCGGCATTAGCCTAAAGGATAGTAAGCTAAGGAATAGAGAGAGAAATATTGTGGAAACTATTCATTATTTTAGGAATCCAAAATAAATTTGCGATCTAGGAGCGTATGGCGCCGGCTCAATGCTTGAATTTTGGTTCATGTCTGAACATTGTATCATAACATGCACATACAGACAGGCAGTACACACATTATACGGTACAAGTACAACACAATATGGCAGAAACAAGTAAGTGTACGAACTTGTCTTTTTACCACTTGCTGTTGTTGTTGTTGTTGTTGCTGCTGCTGTTGTTGAGTTGTTTGTACTTCTGCGGTTGTTTGCTGCTGTTGCACCTGTTGTTGTTGTTGTTGTTGTTGCTGCTGCTGCTGCTGCTGCTGCACGTTAATAAACATTTGATTTTGTATTATTATTTTCTCTTTGCGATGTAAGCTTTCGTCCCGACTAATATTGCTACCATTGTTGCTATTATTCGCATTTTGGTTACTCGGTTCCAATTGATAGTCACCCTGACTGGCGATAACCGTCGTTTTGTTGCTTGTTTTGTTTTGCTCGTTCATTTGTTCCTGGTGTCAATACTGGAAAAAAAGAAAAAATTGCTACTGAGTATGTTCTGCTAATAAAACGATTCTAACAATAGCTTGGAAAACGCAATTCGAAAAAATGTGCGAACGAAAAGAGAAGAAATTGTTACCGAAAAAAACCGAAACTCTTAGTAAAAATAGGAAGAGTACAACTTAAGCAATGAAATAATATCAAGCTTCGCCACTACAGTTGAAGCTTTAACTGTCAAAGTGTGTATAAAATATCAACCGACATTTTCTCACCTCCAGATGACTTTTGGCGTGCAATGTCCACTCGTCTCGATTATTGAACATACGTCCACATAATTCGCAAGTCCATGATAATTGCTGTTGATGATGATGTGGTATAATAATACCGGGTATAGCGGTGGTTTGTCCAGTCGCATTATGCTGAGTTCCCGCAGTTTGGACGATTATATTTTGCGTAGCTACCTGAACGGCCTGTTGTTGTAATTGTAATTCTAAATTTTGTTTATTGTCTTCGGGTTCAGGTTCTTTCTTCTTAACCAAATTGTTAAGACGTTTACCAAGCGGAGCAATATTTGTAGGCGTAACATGTTTAAATTTGTTCATATGAATGACAAGTTTATCGCGTCGAGCAAAAGCTTTATTACATACCTATCAATCATAATATGAGAAAGGAAAAGTATATCAGTAATGAAGACTAATCTTAGACATCTATGCAGATGTCGGGTACAAAAAATTATACTTCACAAATATAAGGCTTCTCGCCGGTATGTATACGCATATGTATGGTAAGTTTGTCCTTTCGCGCCAGACCTTTGCCGCAAACACTGCACTCGAATGCTTTATTCGTACCTAAGAGTAGTAGTTAGTACAATTATTCTTGATAATCAGTTATCAGTTATGATATATTGCATTGTGATATACTTTTTGAAGGATTTGTTTTTCGAACCCCCGACGATGCCTGTTGTACCTGTTGGAGTGCTTTTAAACGACTGGCCGGATGCATAGAGCCACCCTCAACATATGGTTCGGTAAACGGTATCAAATTCGGTTTAGGTATATTATAGGTAACATTATCCGATGACCAACTGCCCAGACTTTGCAGCACACGAACGCCGCCTTCAAAGCCCATACCCACATCGTCGGGTACCGTAAACGTGCTCTCATTACCGGCTGAGCTTGAGGAACTGATTTGTGGTACCTTAATAGTACTGGCATAGTGTTGTTGCAATTGTTGTTGCTGTTGTTGTTGACTTGCATTGCTATTATTGTTATTATTATTATTATTATTATTGTTATTATGTGCATTAGGTGAATTCTGTTGTTGATAATCACTTACAATTGTATTGGTATTACAAGGTTGCTGTTGCTGTTGCTGTTGTTGCTGCTGTTGCTTAAATTGTATAGCCGCCTGAGCCATTTGCTGTTGAACAGCCATATGCGCCTCCAAGTATGCATTTTTCTGCGCTACCGTCATTTTATCCATATTCACTGTGCCGTCCTAGAAAACAACAAAGCAATAAAAGTTACACTATTGTTATGATTTAATTATAATTAAAATTTTTTACTATATTTATATACACTTTTTTATCATTCTAATAACAATACAATGCTTGAAACCTATCTTAACCTTCTTCTTCTCTCTCTCTCTTTCTCTCTCTCTCTCTCGCTCAGCCATAACCGAAATGAAAATGAAACATTGCAACCCCCTCGAATTCATCGAGAGAGAGAGAGAAATTTTATTATTTAACCGCTAAAATGTTAGTTTATCATCCAATCTCTTCCTCTTCGTGTTCGAAAGCTTTTTCATTGTCTTTATAAAAGTGATAAATTCTTCTTTTTTTTTTTTTAATTTCAATTTCACTCAATTTTTTGCACTTTATGCGAAAGCATTTCTTATGTATTTCTTTTTATGTTGAGACTTGTTTTCGGTTTTCTATGTTTGCCGGGTTTTAACGGCACATAGTGTGAGCTTCAAGTGCAAAGATTCTGCGTTGAGGATTCTGAGTGGAATACACCACTTCTATCGCTAAATGATAAGAGTTTACGCACTTCTTCGCACCGTTTTGTGCTAATAAAATGAATTCACAAAAGATATGATATCCAGCAGTAAAATTATAAAAAGCTTTTGCTTGGGCAGATGTTAGTATGCTTACACTTGCATTAATCGGATATTTCATTTATTTATTTCTTTTCATAGAACCAAATGAATTGAATCGCCAGAGCAAGAGAAATAACGAAAAATTTTTGACTAATGAACTCTGGCATCGAATTTTATATTTACTAAACTGTAAAGCCCAAATAATGGCCATTGAAAGATCTACCCTAGATCTAGATGTACGGGCGCTTTATATAAGAATATATATTTGTCAACAATCCATCACGATCCACTTGACGGTAATCAGAGTGGTATTTTCCGAATATCTTAGGACCACCAATTGGGAGCCTGCTGCTACTACGTCCGTGAAAAAGACACGCTCACATGTTTATGTATGTCTGGATACCTATACTTGAAGCAGAGAAAGTGGAGAACGAAATGTGAAACACACAGACATCCTTAAATTAATTTCCGGGGTTATATTCGGAAGCGCTTATGGCGACCAGGTCCAGAAAGGTAAATAGCTTTCATAAAAGTTTAAACTGAAAATGGTCCTGATCGAATTGCTGACCTATCCATCGTCAATAAAAACGATGGATTCACCCGAGAGTTCTTAATTTCAATTTTTCCCACAAGTTCTTTAAGAAAAATTACAATTTTTCTGAACCATTTTTTTTTTTTTATTAGGTAATCTAAGATACATCGAGTCTTCAATGTTCACGCACTCGCTTATTCATACCACCATTTCGAATCGTTTCATTCTAAGCAATTATCCTTATTATTATTATTAGGCTTAACATTTTTTCGATTACTTTAGATTACACTTTGCAACCGTCACATCACAAACGTCATTAGAATTTCAACTCTTTAATAAAAAAGTTAATTTTATTACAAAAGAAAAATTAAAAATTCTTCAATATCTCTTTACTTTGCTTCGAAATTTGCATTTCATTCTAATAAAATAAAATGAATCGATTTTCCCCGCGCGCGCACTCTTGCTTTAGATAATTTTCTCTACACCTGCTTTTCACCGCATTTACTTTACTTTTATTAAATCATAGAAAATATAATTAATTGTTAATTAATTATTAACAAGAAACAAACAAAAAAACAAAAACAAAAAAAAAATTACCAAATTTTTCATAAAATATTATTTATTGGTTTTTTTTTTTTATTATTAAATCCAGACAAACTTGTACAACAGATAATTAATATATTAAAAAATCAAGAAACAATAGACTCTTATGGGGAGCACAGAAAATGTATATAAGTTTACTTGAATTTTTTGGTTATTTTATTTAATTTTTTTTTTTATTTTTTTTTTTTTCGCTAAAACCCGCAAAGTATACTTTGTTGGAATGAATTTTTTTCAGCACCTTTTGTTTGTGTATGTATTGTGAAACTGATTTGTTACTCATTTTTGAGACGACGAATGTCTATATATTTTGCTGTTTGTTTGATTGTTTCGAATTTTGTATTGCTTTTGTCGGTAACTGCGTCGATTTTCATTATTTGAGAACGAATTAATATATTCATTTCAGTTTTTCTTTCGTATTGTTGTTGCCATTAAATCCGACATTTTCAATTCAATTGTATAAATGAATATGAATGTGTGTTTTGCTTGTACTCAAAATTTCGATTGTTTACTGTGCACTTGTATGAACTTCCGAATTTATATGATTCTCTATAATGAGTGCCAAACAACCAACCAACCAACCAACCAATACAATAAAAAAAAGCTTCTAATTAGAATGCGTACAAGAGAAGCAAAAAACTGCTCGCTACTTGCTGCTTGCTGCTTGCTGCTTTTCCGCATTAAAATTAATGCTCAGTGTCGCTTGAAACGTTCAAAATACGAAACGGGGGTGCAATCGAACACCAGAAGCACAAAATGAGAATGTACGACTGAAATTTTATGTAAATACAAATATCTTGTCAAACTACGATGGCTTTTATAATTAAAGGATACCGGCAAGCTATCTTAATCGTGACTGTTGTGTTATATGCCGACGATTATATAAATTATTTTGTCCGAAATACTTTCGAGGACTTGCATAAATTTCTGATTTTTGGTAAATTTTCCGACTCAGAGGCAATAAGACCATGTTTATCTATCTGCTGACTATCAAACTTAAAAGTTTAGGAATTCAAAGGGTTGAATAGATACGATAGTTAGTTTAAATAAGATTATCTAATCCAAATCTGCACAAAAACAATTCATGCGTTTGGAAAAAACATAATTGTCTACTTTTAGGCGCGAGATTTTTAAACATTTTATTGCCTAATCTAAGCACATCTTTTATAATTGCCCGGGAAAACAATGTAAAAGCTCGTCAATATCTTGGGTATTTTGAAATTAGAAATGGGCCTTAATTATAAAATGCACTGTCGTATCTTTGTGTTTACATTCAAATTTTTTTTTTTTTCCTGTTTCGCTTCTTTTCTGTGAGCCATTCGTGATTGTTATGTGAGGGTATGTCTTCGGCTTTTTAAATTATTTTTTTTCAGCCTAATACAAAGATTATTGAGTAAAGTTTTTGTTAAACGTAACGGAATTGAAACAAATAAATCAATATTTTTTTTCTTTTTTCAGCATATCCATAAATGTTAATTAGAAATGCTTTCAATCCCTTTGAATGCTATTCGGTTCTTTGATCTCCACTGGGTTTTTCAAATGCAAAATTCGATATGTGTGTAAGAAACCAATGTAGCAATGAAAAGGACAACCTCACGTATAAGTTAGGAAAAAAATTGTGAAAAAAGGGTAACATAAAAAGTTCATTAAATAGCTTGAGAAATCAAAATGAAAAAATCTGTGCACAGCAGTTCAACCTGTTGGCGATTTCATAAAGTAATGAATATTAAGACAAAAGTATTAGTAAACTACTCAGGGAATGGGCCCTAGAAGTGGGGAAAGAGATAGAAAGATAGAAATAGGGAGTGGGTGTTCGCCGCCTAGTAGGCGTATACCCAATCAATAAGTGTTATGCCTTTGCCGACTCACTGCTCAGCACAGCTTCAGATTTGAACCCGCGGACACTGACCTGATAGTCCCGATTCTCACTTTCTCGGCTGCTCCGGCGGATAATTTATAATTTCTAGCGGAAAACTGTCGACCAGACATGGCTAAATCTATTTTGTGATTCATATTGACATATTGAGAATATTTTATATATATACAAATAATATCCGATGCAAGCATACTTTATAGAAGCATAGCGTAGAAGCACTAACATAAGCTTTGACAAATCTAGTGTGCTGATGGATTTGGGCACAAAACACGGTTAAGCGTCCATTCACTCGTCAAAAAACTTCAACTTGAATTCTCCAAATTTTTATATAAGCATTTAAATACAATTTCTTGCGGAGAAGAAAAGAATTTTCTGCCGAAAAAATAGAAAACGGCAAGAAACTGTACTCGCCATGGAACGAACGCAAAATGATATAAACTAAAAATTGTGTTTTTATTTATTTTTTGCCAATAATTTATTCATAATCTACGCATGACGTAACTGTAAACACTAAGCGGTCTATATTTATAGCCGTAATCGTGTAAGAGTGACACATAAACAAACGTACGATAACAAAAAGATTGCCTCACCAAAAACAATGTTCATATAAAAACCTGTCGAATTTGCATAAATTCGTTATCAGGACGAAGGCGTCAATTTCCCGATTTATGTGATTTGTTTTTTCTTTTAGCGAAGCACATGAGTTTTGTTAACAGCGCATTAATTTACAGGAAAAAGTTTCTTGCGTTTGTAATTGACATAAAAAGATATACGCCAGATATAAATTGTTAGTACGATGGTAGCTTTTGTTGCTTTGAACGAAGATAAAGCTCTTGATGGCATTCTTTCTTTCTTTTACTGTATGTTTATGTTTGCAAGTATTTTATAATCAATCTTTT